AAGGTAACCTCGTGGGGCGGACGACGGAGAACGTGTTCAAACCACCTCAGTCGCCTTCTGACAGGATCACATTTACAATGTAGACTTATATTGCAGGTGATTCAAACTGGCCTGTACCTGACATTTAACTTGTTCACTGATGCGTCTTGCAGCAGCCGGACGTGGGCAAAATGCGTGTCCAGGCCTTACAGATATACTTGTTTTGACCGTCGAGCCAAACTACTCATTTATTGTGGTTAGTTTTCAGGTAGGAGCGTCGTATTGTTCCAAAGCTGAAGTCGATGCCTCCGCAGGAATTCGTGTCCCAATTCAGCGGACACTGATGATAACCACTAACATTTCTAAGTCTTATTATTTAGTAAGAATGACTTTAAAAACCGCGGTGATATCCTTTTAAAATGGTTCTGGCTTCAATTTTACCAACAGCAAGCTTGAATAGAAATCTCACTTACTGTCTCTTTCGAAAACAAAATATAGGCGTTGCTCGGAAAACTAGTTTTGCCTCGAACATTTGCAGGTAAGGTATCAACTAGGAGGCCGACCCCTGACGAGTTTATAAAGTGTGAATGGGACAAACAGAAGGAGGACGTTGGTGGGACTGAAAGAAGCCCACAACAATCTTTAAAATGAAAAGCGCTGAGAATATGTGCCTACTGACAGTGCTTGTAATGACGCTGACGCGCATTCAACCAAGTGTGTGCGTGTTTGTGTGGGGTGGCGGACTGAGAGTCAGGCTGTAAACGCTCCTTCGTAATGTGGTCTTTATGGCACTCCCATTTAGCTGGGATCGGAGCCGCCACCTTTGCTGTTGCTTTCTTGTTTGTGTTGACTCCCAGTGCGTGGATATGGCCCTCTCCGGTCTTCTTGACACGGAATCCGGATGGGGGAGCGGAGCGGAGCAGAGCAGCGAGTGAGGTAGATGCTACGAAAGTCTTCTTTCAGCAGCGAGTGAGGTAGATGCCGCGAAAGTCTTCTTTCAGCAGCAAGCGAGGTAGATGCTGCGAAAGTCTTCTTTCAGCAGCGAGTGAGGTGGATGCGGCGAAAGTCTTCTTTCAGCAGCGAGTGCGGTAGATGCTGCGGAAGTCTTCTTTCAACGCAATTCGCCGTCCATGCACCACCCTGTTGTTGAGCACATGTTGGGCCTCCTCAAAGTCGCATGACACAGGACGTAAGGCACCACGAAAAGGACTAGTTGCCTGTTGCTACTGTTGGCATCCGAATACTATGCCTCAAGTGTGTGTGTGTGTGTGTGTGCTCAGCTAGGCGGTGGTGGACTGAGTAAAGTCGACCATCAACACAGTTCTTTCCTCACTTTAAACAATATGATGCGCTTCAAGCTGTTGCGGCGCACTAAGAGCCATGACTTGGAGGGTTGCCAACTGATGAGATAACTTGGACACCGCAGTCGATCCAGTGTGTATCTTGTTGTTTAGAGTGGCTGTCTGCGGGCTGAGAGTCGGACCCAATGACTCCGTTTTAACGTAGCCTTTATGATGCTTCCAGTCGGGAGCCTACCTAGCGAGCGTGCTGTTGGTACACGTGTCGAAACTTGATCGCGCCAGTCGCCCACACCCTCCCCCATATCCGGTCTTCTTGACTTTTGTCGTGACATCGGGTCCGGTGTGAGAGGGGTGAGAGAGTTGGGTGGATCCTCCGCGAGTCTACTTTCACTATAATCCAACGGAAGTCACCCCGTTGCTTCAGCCTGCCGAAGCACGTGGTGGACATCGTCGAAACCGACGGTAGAACTGTCGTGTGACTAAGATTTGCATCTGTTGTGCGTGTGACGACGGTGTTTGAGGCTCACAATTAGTTATTTGTATTGGCATTCTTCAAAACCAGAACTATTATTTAAGAAGCTGGGAAACCTGTGAGCAAACTGGATCTTGTAGGTGTTCGGGCATGTAACGGATGTTTGTGAAACGATAACATAAAGGGATTTACAGAAGGTCTC